TGCCAGAAGAAACAGGGTGACATCACCCTGGACAACAGCAGGAAAGCCCTGAATCTTCTTCCAGTCCCAGCTATCTCAGAATCATACAAGCTTAGAGCTGGAAGTGTCCATAGAGCTTGCCCAAGCCAAACTCCTCATTCTCCAGGAGAAATAAACCCAAAGAGGTGGTGACTTGCCCAAGGTCATACAGCTGCCAAGTAGCAGAACCCAAACTTTCTTCTGACTCCAAGTCTAGGATTTTTCATTCCACTCCAACCTGCATTTGGCTCTACCACACCCCTTTCACCTAGCCTTTGGGGGGTAAACTCTAAGGTTCAGAACTGAAAAAGACCTTAGTGATCCTATAACCTAGCCTCTGTGCAAGGCATCAGCTAATTCGCATCTCCTGTCCTCGAGTCTTCTCAGGGGAGATTGTCCCCAGGGAGTCTCCCACAGTGCTAACTTCTTAATTCTGCACTTGTCCTCACTCTTCTCCAACTGTGGATGGAAGAATATATAGCCCATTAACCTAGAGAAGGGAAATAAGTTAACTCAAGGGCCATTCATTACAGCCATCAAGATATTTCCATAATATTTTCAAAGCAAGAATAAATTTCATTTTAATATTAACTCCTGCCATACCCGTGTGTTCTGTCTTTCATTTCTTGAAAAAAGATCAGGTAATATTTAGTTCTCTGATTGCAAACACAATAATACATAAATAAATAATGCTTTAGTAACAATAATTCAGCATTTTACTTGTACTAATGCACTTGACTGAAGAGATAATGTGGGAGAGTGGGAAAAAAACCCCACCATGAAATTAAGAGTCAGTAGAGTCCTGAACTCACTGTGGGACTTTGGGCAAGTTATTTACCTTCTCTGAGCCTCAGTTTCCACATCTGTAAAATGAAGAGGGTTGGATCAGGTATTCTCTGAAGTCCCTTCCAGCTCAAAGTTAGTATGATAGGAAGGGAGGAGGCAGCAGCCTCCTTGTTCCCAGGATCTGCCCCACTAACAGAAAGCTGCTGGACAGGTTGGGTGAGAGGAACCAGGTCAGCCCCTAGAAAGAGAAGCTCAACCAGAATCATTTGTTCCAAGCCTAGTCCAGAGACTCTGCCTGGTGACAAGGGCTTTAAAATGGAAAAGGTTGTGTGGTGGAGTAGGAAGAATGCTCCATTTGGAGTCAGAAAAGCCAGGACTGAATCCTGGCTCTGTTGCTACTTATCTGGGCAAATCACTCAGCCTCCTATAGGACTCAGTTTCCTCTGCATTCCTTTCAAGATCTCAATCTAAAATTTCTATGGTCCTATAAACTTAGGGTCACTTTTTCTCTTCAGGTCTCAGCTTCTCCTTCTGTAAAATGAAAGGGTTATACTAGAATTAGAGTTCTTAACCTGGGGTCTATGAACTTAAAAAAAAAAGCTTTTAATAAAAACCCAGTAATTTGATATTGATTGTCTTTGCAATCTAGTGTAAAGGTCGTGTCTTTTCTTTGGTCAGTCAGTCATGAAACATTTATTCAGGGCCTCCTATATGCCAAGCAAGGAGGAAGAAAGGAAGGAAAGAAGGAAGGAAAGAAAGAAAGAAGAAGGGAGGGAGAGAAGGTGGGAGGAAGGGAAGGAAGGAAGAAAAAGAGAGAGGGAGGAAGGAAGAAAGAAAGAAGGGAATAAAGAAAGAAAAAAGAAAGAATTAAAAAAAAGATTCCTGACCTCAAGGAGCTTACAAGTCTAATGCGAGAGGCAACAATAACTACGTGCAAACAAGATATAGACAGGATAAAGTGGAGATAATCAACAGGGGGACAGGAAACGGCTTCTTGTAGAAAGTGGGATTTTAGCTGGGACTTGAAGGAAGCTTGGGAGGCAGGGGACAGAGATGAGGAGGCAGAGCATTGCAGGCACGGAGGACAGCCAGAGTTGGGGAGTGTCTTATGCAAGGATCAGCAAGGAGGCCAGAGTCATTGGATGGAAGGATAAGTGGAGGGAAGTGAGCTGTAAGAAGCCTGAAAAGGTAGGAGGGGGCCAGGTTATGAAGAGTTTTAAAAGCCAAATGGAGGATTTTCTATTTGATCTTGAAGGTGATAGAGAGCTACTGGCATTTACTGAATCGGGGGATGGCATGGTCAGACCTTTGATTTACAAAGATCAATTTGATAGCTTCATAAAGGACTATACCAAAGTAGGCAGAGACTTGAGACAGGGAGATCAAGCAACAGGCTCTTGGAGTAGTTCAGGCATGAGGTGATGATGTCCTGGAGCAGGATGGTGGCAATGTCCTGGGAGAAAAGAGGAAACATACCAACAATTCTAAGAAGGCAGAATCTACAGGATTTGGCAACAGCTTGTATATGAGGAATGAGAATGAGGAGCCCAGGACGACACCCAGGTTGCCAGCCTAGAAGTCTGGGAGAATAATGATATCCTCCACAGTAAAAAGAAAGTTGACATTGATCAATACAATGATTCACCATGATTCCAAATAACTCATGATGGAAAATTCTATCTACCTCAAGAGAGGGAACTGTTGGATTCTGAGGGCAAACTAAAGCATATTTTTTCACTTTATTTGTCTTGTTTTTATTTCTCAACGTGGCAAATAAAAAAATGTGTTTTGTATGACTTCACATATATAAATGGGTGTCATATTGCTTGCTTTCTCAATGGGACGGAGAAAATTTAGAGCTCAAAATTTAAAAAAAC